GAATAGAATAGAATAGAATAGAATAGAATACTATGCCCTTTGGGATAAGAAACATTATTGTGCTAGAAACACATACAGCAAAAATACAAAAGAAAATCACATTAAACTCACACAGTTACTAAAATAAGTATAAAATTTGTATTAAAAACAATACTTTCTGAAAGCAAAGTGAATAGAGGCAACTATTCAGGCAATAGTTAGCAACTTTAATTTCACAGGTAGTGTGGTCAACAGTATGCTACAACCTAATGTATCCATCAAATGACAAACTTAAGCAGACAGTAATTTTCATATCATTTTTATATGAAGGTAATTAGTCAAATAAATCTGTATAATTGCAAGCTCTTGTATGAGGAAAATGTGAATTTTAAAATGAACCAATGAGAAGCAGCAGTAGTTAAACTAGTATTTCACAAGATTCAAACTGTGCTGTGAGTTCTCAAAAACACTATTAACTAAAACAGCATCTGCAGTGCATCATTGCTACTAAGCAAATTGTATATAGTGTTTTTCTTCTATTACTTTTCTCTTATTTGGGAGAACAACTTTTGAACACTTACCGCTTTGTTGTTCATCATAAACATTTTATTTTTGTTCACATTTAAGTTCAAATTAGTCACTTATTTTTCAAATTAATATTATACTTTCTAATATAAATGGACAACATAACTATAAATAAAAATACACATAAAATAAGATGTAATTCTATGTGCAATAGTTAAAATACATATATCTGCTAGCAGGAAATCTATATGTGATTATTAAATGCAGAAGTATACCATATATAATTTCTTGCAGAACTGGATTTTATTAGTTTCTTTATATAGTTCTATTTCAAAATATTTAGAAAGGGCATGCCATAGAGTTTTGTAATAAAAATTACATTGTTAATAGATTTCCAACTTGAAAATTATTACTTTCTTAGAAATAGAATCAATGGAGCATGAAACAATTCAATTAAAAATATTTCATCTACAGAAGAATGAATTAAAGCAGGATTTATCTACTTTCCAGAGGAAACTTAGAGGTATATTGCTTACCTGATGTTCAGCTGATTTAATGTTGAAGCATGATTTGAGAAATACTGTTTGAAATTTATCCTCACCGGAAGACATTTTATGAGAAAGCAGAAAATACCATATATTCAATTACTTTAAAATGACTACATAGTAAAATATAAATAAACAAATAAAAGAACAAACTTATCCTGTACTTTTTGGCAGTTTTAGCAAATTTTATTGTCAAAAAGAGGATTCTTTTTTTTTAATGAAGTATAGCTTCTCATTATTTCAGAAAGTTACTGTAACAAAACCCACAAAATAAGTTCTATTCTCATATTGTTAAATGTATTTCATTCTTTATTATCAACATATTTGACATATATTGTGTTGTATTTATTAGTTTTGTAACATTAATCACATCCTAATTTAACTTTAACCTGATAAATTAAGTATATTGTATTTAAACACTATCTCCTGAGTTTCCTATTTTAAAGCTTATCTTCTATTTTTAGTTCAAACTATTGATTCATGTTACTCAATATTACAGTGCACAAGTGGAATCTATCAATGCCAGTTCAACTGGCTGAACCATAAATTCCAGAAAACCTGACCATTGGCTATGCTTTATACAAATACTAAGACTTGTTAGTATATTGTGAATGGAAAAGATAAAAGCAAATGGGCTCACAGGTTCCTCCTACTGGGGTGTATTGCATACATCTCAGTCTCCCAGGAAGTTCAACCTAGTTAACAATTGACAGCAGTGATGTGTGGTGAGGCTTCATGGCCGGTGAGGCAAGCGCAAAAGCCCCGCCGAAGCCCCGGCGCCACATCCGCCATAGAGTGGGACCAGGACCCGCTCTATGATGGACGCGGCGCCGGGACTTTAAAGTCCTGCCACCGGGGCCCTGCCTCCACTTTAAAGCCCTGCCGCCCAGGACGTTTTCTCTACCCATTCTAAGCATCTAAGGAACATTCCCATGCCTGTTACCAACTGCTCCCTGCTTTTATCTATGTGTGTTGTCAATCGAGGCAGGTGGGGTCATTTGTAGCCAACAGAGAAGCTGCAAACTGTTCCTGTACCCAGATCCTTCCCTTCTATGCTTGATATTCAGGAGTCTGCATTCAATCCTAAATGCATGAATGACCAGGATTTCAGATCAAACCTTGCTCCTAATCTGGTTTAACTGCAAATAAAATCAGAGAATTTTGGTATGTTTTGGTATGTTTTGATCTTTGGGCTGGAGCTGTTTAAGGAACAAATCTATTGAGTTTACTGTATTTTTTAATTGTCTAGTATAAATGCTTACTAGTTTATTCTAAACAGTGTCATTTCTTTCTAGATTTTGAAATTTTTTTAGCAGAAACTAAATCTATCACAAACGGCTTAGAATTAGAAAAAATAACAATTTCTGAAAAACTTCAGACCGATCCAGAATATATAAGGTAAAAACACTCTTTTATAATGTAACAAGTTGTATTTAATATTCCCCCCCTATCTTTTGTATTATGTATCATTGCATATTCAGTACAGTATAACTAAGAAAGTGCTATTGAATTTTAAGTATAAAAGTGCTGAGGGCCAAAGTTATTTACTATCCTTAAATTAATTAAACTCTTGTGATGGGGCTGAATAAGAAGCTTAAACAAAACTAAGATGTAAAGGATAGATACTTGAAAAACATTGAGATTTTTGCAAGATAAACTGAAAGTGATGTATCATTATTCAAATTATTGAACATTATGTAAAATAAAGGTTTATACATAAAATAGAAATAACCTATACAAAAACAATTTTACTTTCTATAATTTAAACTGATTCAGCCAGTGTATTATATTTAAAATCATGCATTTTATGTTTGTATTAAACAATTTTGTTTAAGTTAATCATTGTCTTTGATTTTTCCTCTCCAATACAATGTTCATCTTTAACTATTCTTGAACCAAGAAAATAAAATTATTATTTTCCTTGTTTTGTGGTCAGTAATGAAATTACTGAGCTTTTTCATACAATTGATGAAATAGGCTTTGTAGTTTACATAACCTTTTCCTCATTTGTATTTAAGATTAACTCAGATCTTTCATTTTCTGAACGCTGTCATACTATATTACCTGAACAAATTAAATAGTTATCAGAAAATACATATATACATACATACATACATACATACATACCATACATACATACATTAAGGTGACCAGATTTTCAGATTGGTAAAGAGGGACACCTTTGACCGGGGGGG